TTACCAAAAGTTTTTAGTATTTTAAGTATAATGCAAATGTATTCTTATAGTTCTGAACAAGTCTGAACACAAACTTCACCGAACTAAAAATTAAGGTGTTAGCAGGCCTATTCTTATTTCTGGAGGTTCTAGGGGACAGTCAATTGCTCTTTTCAGCTTCCAGAGGTTGCCTAGATTCCTTGGAGTAGTCACCTTCTTCCACCTCAAAGCCAGCAATGTATCTCTGATCATTCTTCTATTGTCTTGTGTGACTCTCTTGTCTCTCTCTTCTACTTCCTATGCTCCCAGCCCTCCTTGGTACTTGGACTGAACACAGGAGTGTTCAACCACTGAGCTATAACCCAGGCCCCCGCCCCTGCCTTTTTTTGAGATMGTCTTGGTAAGTTGCCCAGGCTGGCTCAAACTTTCTGCCTCAACTTCCTAAGTAGCTGGAATTACAGGCATATGCCAGCATACCTGGCTCCCTCTTCCACTTTTAATGGCCTTTTTAAATACATTGGGCCCAATGAATAATCTAGGATAACCTCCCTATTTTAATGCCAATTGACTAACACTCTTTTTTTTTTTTTTAAAGAGAGAGTGAGAGGGGGAGGAGAGAGAGAATTTTATTATTTATTTTTTAGTTATCGGCGGACACAACATCTTTGTTTTGTATGTGGTGCTGAGGATCGAACCCGGGCCGCACAAATGCCAGGCGAGCGCGCTACCACTTGAGCCACATCCCCAGCCCTAACATTCTTAATTCCATCTGCAACCTCAATTCCCTTTAGCCATAAAACATAGTCATGGGATCCAAAGGCTTGCCTAAGAGGAACACCAGAGGAAGCAGCAATGCCAAAAGTGGAGAGGGATCATACTTTGATGGCATTGTACTCTCCTTAGATTTAGCTATGGCTAAGTCAGGAATACTTTTGGACTCTTAAGTCCCGTGAACCTTCTCCCCTTAAGTCAGTTTGGGTTGGTTTCCCCAAACTTACAACTTAGTTTTGATGTTACTTGTGATAGCATAGTATGTTTGATACTGAATAAATTTAAATTATTTTATTTTAATGTTAATAAGTACATACTAAAGTAAGGATGAAAATAAGAAAATCAAGAAACACATTGAACCTCAATTTTCAGGAATAATAGACTAGGCCATCAGGACCACTCTCCTACTGAGGACAACTGAAAAAGTAGGACAATATTTATATCTTTGTCTATAACTTAAGAGTATTAAATTGCTAACAAGCTAGTGATTACTTATTAGTAATTACTGATGCAAGAGTGGAGAGAGAATGGAAATCTGAGATGGGTTTAACAGCAGATTAGGTGCAACATTTTCTTTAGGGGGTTTTGTGCCAGCCCTGAAAAGATAGCTGAGAAATGAGCTGTTTTTGGCARCCTTGGGCAGCTAGGGAGATGACAGCAGAATACAGACCCTCAAAGTAAGCATGGGAAGCTGCTCTGGGAAGGCTGGCGAGCCCTAGGAGTAAGGTGAGTAAGAAGCCGTTGAATTAAGATGTTTCTGAATGTTCAGTGCCTCCAGGAATCTGGAAGAAGAAATGTGAATTCTGCAAACATTGATTGGAAGATGCAAGGGAATATGTATGTCATATTTCCTCTTTAGAGGAAGATGTCGTTGTAGGCCTCAAATTATTTCTTCATGCAGATGTGATAGGTAATTGAGCACTAATGAGAAAATATATCATGAGCAAGAACCAAGAGAAAGAGACCCATAAGAATTGATAATACTCAAATCATCAGATTTGAGAATCAGATCTGGAAAACAATGATGCTCATTCTGTTAAAGGAAATAAAGGCCAAATTCAACAAAGTTTCAGCAGAAAAATGGAAACTATTAAAAAAAAACAGGAAAAATTAGAAAGAACCAAAAAGATATTGTAGAATTAAAAAATACAATGAATTAAATTAAGAAAACAGGTTTAAAAATAGGTTAGAAATAGCTGAAGAGAAAAATCAACATATTACAAAGAAGGGTAGAAGAAACATAGATGAAGAAGAAATAATCTGTTACCACAGATAGACAAAAAGATGGCAAAGAAAAGAAAATCAGAGGACATAACAAAAAGGACTAGAGAGCCAACAATTAGAGTTTCAGGAGAGGAGAGAAGAGAGAATGGGGAAATATTTGAAACAGTAATAGTTGAGAATAGGTGAAAAGACATCAATCCATATTCAAGAAGCCTAGTGAATATCAAGCAAGATTAAAAAGAAATCCACACTTAGCCATAACAAAATGATATTGCAGAAATATTAATTTCAAAGAATCAATTGTATTGACAACTAACATCTCAACAGCAAAAACAGAACCCAAAAAACCAAGAAATTAACTTTTTCATGTGAAAAAAGAATACTGCCAATATGTAATTCTATACGGAGTAAGAATATCAACATCAATTCACAAAGATGGGGAGAACAAGAGATGCAAAACAGTAAAAAATTTTTTGAAAGTTAAAAAGCAAATAAACAAGTAGAAACTGATTTCATAGACTATAGAATCCTAAGGTAGCAGTAGATGATGGAAAATTATCAGGATCCACACTGCAAAATCTTCATAATGTTCAGAAACTGAGAGTTATCAAATACTTTTGCAACTGGGGGAAATGTTTGGCTAAAGTAGAAGATTGGTTGTAAGCCATTTAGGAAAAAAACAAATCTTTGGACATTTTTCCCCTACCACTCATTCACTGGATGATTGCCTCTCTCCATCCCCATAGATGGGTCCTTATTCTCAAGAGATGACGTGATGGAGGGTCTGTGGACTTACGGAGGCCAAATCCAGGGATAGTAAGTAGGCTTATGCATAGTAAACTTTGAATATGGGTATTCTCAGCTCTCCCTCTGCACTCAGCCCCTAGAAGCAGTTAGGCTTTAGCTTTCCACGAAGGCTGGATGACTGTTCTCTGTGCATGTGTCTAGTCAGGGGATTCCCTACCAAAAGGCTCACCTGATCACTTCACAGCAAATCTCAAAAGTCAACAAGTCCCATTAAACTGCTCAGAACTCCCAATGAGCTTTTTTTTTCCTTTCCATTTTACCCACAAGGCTGGTTAGAAATCAAAGGAACATATCAGAAGTAAAAGAAAGACKAGAACAAATGTAGGACATAGGGGTAAGGCAACTAAGGGAAAACAAACTATGCAGCAAAACAAGAACTTATAATAAAATGCCCTTAAAATGGTATTGCACTCATGAAACAAGGGTGGGTTGTGTGCTAATTCCACCTATTGGCTCCAAGCCCCATTCCCACCTTTTCAAGTTCTCTGTAACACAGCAGGGTTAGAAGCTAGCCAATTACATTTCCAGGCTCCCTTGAAGGTGCTTCTGTTTAGGTTCTGCCAGTGTGAGATGCTAGGGGGTCCTGGAAGGTGGGAGGAACAAAGGAGACATTTTCTTTCCTGTTTTGGAAGTGCCTTTGGTGGAGGCAGTGGCAGCAGCAGTAGCACCAGCAGAAGCAGGCAAAATGGGGCTTCTGACTTCTTCCTCAGTAGCACTGATACAGTTCAATGCAGTAGTGGCAGGGGCCTGCATTGCAAAGCAGCAGTGAGGATGGGCTTTGGGCCCTGGCAGTTGTTTGATCCTTGTCCTCTTTCCTTTTGCTCCTCCTTCACTCCTGAAGTGATTATAGCCAATCCCTTCTTCAAATTCCTTTTTGCTTGAAGTAGTTAAAGTGGTTTCTGTTTTGTTGAGTGAACCACTAATTGATTAAAATGTTAGAATCTTTTTTTTTTTTTTTTGTACTAGGGATTGAACTCAGGGGCACTTGACCACAGAGTCACATCCCTAGTCCTATTTTATATTTTATTTGGAGACAGGGTCTCACTGAGTTGCTTGGTGCTTCACTGTTGCTGAGGCTGCCTTTGAACTCATGATCCTCCTTCTCAGCCTCTGGAGCTGCTGGAATTACAGGCCTATGTCACAGCGCCCGGCATTTAAAAAAAAAAAATAATAAAAAATACTTTATGTTAAAAATATAAAAACAGAAAAAATTCAGTGGAAAGGTAAGAATGCTGATAAAAATCACGCAGAAAGTACAGAAGCACACACGCAAAAAATTGAACAACAGAAGTGTTCAAAATTTACAGTAAATTGTAACACTCTATAACATTAATTATCATGATGTAAATTACTTATTCTCATGTTATCATACAAATACCATGTGATACAGAAAGCACCGTCCTGCCTGGCCTAGTGAAATACGGCTAAGTACAATTTCAAGAGCAAAGAAATGTCAAAGAAAACCACAGAAAGTCTACTATAATCTTCTAATCAATAATACTCTGACAAGAACACTAAATATATTCATGGTTAGATAAGCTTTATTCAAATGTCTGCATAAATATGAATTGATGTCAAACAAGAAGTTTTTCCAAAGGGCTAAAATTTATTAAGCAGTAAAATTCAGTGCTTCCCTTTGGTCTGTCTCTGAATTTAGCTGACCAAAACATCATTATTAATAGTCTGCACTCACTGCTCATTTTCATCACTCACATTTCTCAGATCCTTGGGTGGCATTTTTCATTTCTCAGGAAATTTCTTAAATTGCATTTAGAAACAGGACGAGGGTTTTACCTGCTCATTTCTACTTCAGAGGCAAAACTACATCCCTTGATTCTCATTTTAATTGTGGGTGTTTGCAAATGGTGTGCAACTGAGGAACTTAATGTTAAAATACAAAAAATATGGTATAATCTCCATGTGCTAAAACAATAACTTCATTTTAATATTTTTATTAAAGAATTATTTTTATTATTTCTCCACAAAGAAGCTATAAAAACACCTATAAAAGCATTGAAAAAACACTTTAAAATCCTGGATTTATGACGGGTACCTTGTTAGCACACGCCTATAATTCCTGACACTTGGGAGGCTGAGGCAGGAGGATCACAAGTTCAAGGCCAACCTCAGAAATTTACTGAGACCCTATCTCAAAATAAAAAATAAAAAGGGCTGGGAATGTAACTCAGTGGTTAATTGTCCCTGAGTTCAATCCCCAGTACCCCAAATTTTTAAAAAAAATTAGAATAAAACAAAATCTTGGATGGATGATATTTCTATGATTTACAACTAAGAATAAAATGCTAAATTCTACAAGAGAATTTCTGAATTATTTTGATAGAAATTTGCTAGAAAGAATCAGAAAAATTTCAGGCTGGGAGTAGAGTGCATGCTTAGCATGTATAAGGTTCTAGATTTGATCCCTAGTCCCAAAACCAAACAACAAMAAAAAAATTATCAACTCCCAATTTAGTTTTGAAAAGCAACACATTTGTTGACAGTCACTAATGATATTAATCTGGAAGGCAGAGATTTGTACATGAGGAGAGTTGGGTCCTTTAAGGTAACAAATGGAAGTGCTCTTCTCTTATTTTTCCCTTACATTTAAAAAAAATTTTATTTATTTTTATTCTTCCCTTTCATTTTCAATAACAGTAAAAATATACACATGGTTAAAAAATGCATAAAGTACAGAAAGATCTAAAACAAAGTAAATATCCTTTTCCTATAACATGACAGATGTGATGTCTTCAAAATCCTTTAGGAGTCTTATGAGTAACACACCAACTAAGTCTTTTCAGGCCTTTGGAACTGTGTTGATTGTCTCCTATAACACCTCTGCTACAGAGGAAACATGCATTCTTCTCCTTCATAAAGAAAGTTTAAAGGGCAACAGTCACACACCGCTCAGAGACAACAAAATCCAGGTAGCACCTCAGACACCACTGGGTCTAGTTGTAGCTCCAGAGAGTCCCAGGTAACATCCCTGAAATTTAGGAGTCACATTTACTAAAAAGGCATTTTCAAAAGTAAGAAAACATTTTCTTTAAATAAAAATGAGGAAATCTGTTCCTTGTCAAATTCTATCTGAGATTTGGGGGATGAGAGAAAAATATATTTGACATTATTCAAAAGGGCATGAGCCACAGACTCCCATGCAGTCAAGTAAAGGCCAAGGTATTACTAGGGAACAGGGGCAAGATGAGAGGGCAGGGAACTAAGGATGGAGAAGGAAGATCCTTCAGAGAAATTCCTGCCCCAAGGCTGAGCAGTTGGGTGTCTTCCCCCAGTGTACTTGCTCTCTGGTGAGCCACAAAGACTTACAGAGACAGTGCTGTAGGAGTTCAGCCAAGTCCTTCCTCGATGCCGCGGATCCTCCTGGCCAGCTGCACATCCTTGGGGAAAAGAGTGACTCGGCCAGCATGTAAAGAGAGGAGGTAGGCATCCTCAAAGAGGTGAACTAAAAATGCTTCTGCTGCCTGGGCAAAAGAGAAAATGACAGACACAGACAAAAAGCACAGGCTGCTCTTTGGAGACCTGTTGCACTTCTGAGAGCTCAAAAAGGACAGAGGGAATGACTAAAAAGCTCTGCTGCCACCACACAGAATCTCTTCCAAACCCTCATCAATATGTCACTGTCTTCAGGAGGTCAGACCAGCCTTTAATATTTCACAGGCAGTCCCATGGGATTCTGGAATATTCTTTCTCCCCCTCTCAGCACTCACCAGTGATATTTGAGCCCCTTCTTACCTCTTGAAGGGCCAACAGGGCCTGGGCTTGCCAACTGAAGTCCACACCACGTGTGAATTTCATACATATTTCTCTTGCCTGCAGAGGAGTGGGGACAGAGATCAGGAGGAGTAGAGTAACAAAAGAGAGATTAAAGGGAAGACAGACTCTCTCCAACTGTCTCCCATGAATTCTCATCTCCATCAATCTGTCCTGGCCCTTAATGTTAGGGCCCAACCAGCAGCAGGTATGGACTCCTGGGAGCTTAGAAAATGGTGGTAGGAAGATAAGGAGGCAATCTCCAGGGTAGGAAAAGGGATCAAATGGTAGGTGGATGAGAGAGTTCTATTTCTTTTCTTTTCTTTTTCTTAAACATCAATTTATTATTTTTCAATATTTATTTTTTAGTTGTAGTTGGACATAATACCTTTATTTCATTTTCTTATTTTTATGTGGTGCTGAGGATCGAACCCAGGATCTCACACATGCGAGGCGAATACTCTACCTCTGAACCATAACCCCAGCCCGAGAGTGTTTTATTTCTATAGTCAAAGTACAGTTTCAAAGTAGAGGTAGTGGGGGTATCAATTCCAGAGAGAACTGCAAGGTTGGAGGGCCTTTGGAGGGCTCATATTTCCAGAAGATGGAGTTCTCTACCAGGTTAAAGAATATGTAACTTAGTCACCTAGGTAAGACATGGTAGGGTCCTACATATCTGGGAAATTTAAAGGAAAGAGGGTGGCATGGAGTGGTGGGAAGCTCCCTGGAGCTTACCAGGCGGCTGAAGGGGTACCTCCTTATCAAGAGGTCTGTGCTCTTCTGTAGATTTTTGATCTCCTTAATCCAGCGAATTCTTCTCCGACTATGTTGACGAGAGGAAGAACCTAAACAAAACAGATGGATCATGAAGAGAAGGTGCAGTAGAAAATGGGTGATGCCTTACAGTTGGTTGAGACAGATCAACTGTCAAGTCACTAGGCTGCGACTGTGAGCAAGTATGCTCCACAAGGGCAGAATGTTTCATTCACTACTCTTTAGCAACTAGAAAACTGCAGATAGTTGCTAAACATTTACTAAAAAAAAAAAAAAAAAAAAAAAAAAATGAATGTTCCTTTAAGATTTGAGTGCTAACATTTCCATGAAGCCTTTCCTGAAACCCAAGCCCTTCCCAACAGACGGGTTGCCTCTCTCCTCTGGGCGCCACAGTACTTGGTATTTCTCTTATCTTTCTCACTAGATTGAAAACTCATTTATTTTGGTTTTAGGCCTTTTTGTTAACAGCTGGAAGGAATCAGATACTGTCTCCTACAATACCCTTGTCTTGATTATCCTGGGGCCTAGAGAAGAGAAGACAGTTGGCCACAGTTCATTAGAGGCCAATGAGCTTTAGAATTAGCATAAGTCAGTGCCAGTGTCAGGAATGCAGGTTATAGAGTCACAGCCTTTGGCTCAACTTCTAGTTCCAACATTGACATTAAAAGATGGCTAAGTTCATCTCAGGTGGTACATGCCTGTGGTCCTGGTGACAGGAGGCTGAAGCAGGAGGATCACAAGTAACTTAGAGAGACCCTATATCAAAATAAAAAGGACTGGGAATGTAGTTCAGTGGAAAAGCACACCTGGGTTCAACCGTTAGTTCAAAAAAAAAAAAAAAAAAAAAGAATTTGTCCAGAGGCCTGATTATAAAAAGTCATTGTTAGAGTTATTTTAAAAATTAAAAGAACATGGAGCAAAAGAAATATTAAAGATAATAGGGACTGGAGTTGTAGCCCAGCAATATAACACTTGCCTAGCATGTGAGGCATTGGTTTTGATTCTCAGCACAACATATAAGTAAATAAATAAAATTAAAAAAAAAAAAGTACATCCTGATTTTACATTTATGTGGTGCTAAGAATTGAACCCAGTGCCTCATGTATGCTAGGTGAGCGCGCTACCACTTGAGGCACATCCCCAGCCTCTAAAAGTGGTATTTAGAATCACAGGGATAGATGAGATCACCAGGCAGGGGATAAAAGAGAAAAAGATGCCAAGTCCCATATCAAGGAGTTGAAGAGAGGTGACACAGGCAGTCAAGAGAACCAAGCAGGAACTGCCAGATTGCATGGTGTCGTGGAAGCCAAGGGAACAGAATGTTTCAAGGAGAAAGTGGCCCACTGTGTCAAATGCTTCTGAGACAGAGTAGGAAAGGACATAGACCTGCCTGTTGGATTGGGCAAATGAAAGTTGCTGTAGTAGTTCAAGTATGGTTAATAGCTGCAGAAAGTGGGATTGAGGTGGGTTGAAGGGTGACTGGGAAGTGGGGAGTAATGTGTACACTTGAGTCTGGCTACTTAAAAGAGTAGCTATAAAGGGAAACAGAAATAGAGAATATAGGGAGTTGATAATATGGGCTCAAGGAAATCCCCTTGCCCTTTTTCTGAGGATCATAAATACTAGAGCACATTTGCCAATGCTAATATTTGGATTTAATTCTAGGTGCAGGTAGAGGGGACCAAAAAAAGCCCTTTTCAGGTGAAAGAAAGACATGGTTAAGAGCCCTTGAAGAAGCTGGAGCAGCTTTTGATAGGAAGGCAGATACCTAGGCAAGGCCAATATAATCACTACTTAAAAGGATAGTTATAAAAGGGAAAGAAATGGGGAGTCTAGGCAGCTGGAAATGTGGTGTCAGGGAAACACCCCTTAAGTGAGGAGACTGAAGCTGTATGAAGAGGGGGAGCAGGCTATGGTAGCGTATACCTGTAATGCCAGTTACTCAGGAGTCTGAGGCAAAAGGATAGAAGAATCACAAGTTCAAGAACAGCCTGAGCAACTCAGCAAGATCCTATGTCAAAAAGGAAAAGGAAAAAAAAAAAAAGTATGGAATTGTCATGGGGAGAATGGAAAAGCAACAATACCAGACAAGAGCAACAGGACTGCCAAAAGAAGTATGAGTGCCCATTTGAGGCAAAACTTTTCATTTAATCAGAAATAGTAGAAAGGATGCTTCTACATTGGAAAGCAACAGCAAACATCATATTTAACACTCCCACTAACATCGAGAACAAGACAAAGATGGCCAAGATAATACTCTTCCAGTCTTAGAGTCTCACCAATACCATCAATAAGAGGTAAAATGTGTAAAAACACAAAAGAGTCAAAAATCATTATTTGCGGATGATATAATAGCTTGCTTAAAAAAAAAATACAATTGGGGCTGGGGATGTGGCTCAAGCGGTAGCTGCTCGCCTGGCATGCATGCGGCCCGGGCATTCGATCCTCAGCACCACATACAAATAAAGATGTTGTGTCTGCCGAAAACTAAAAACTAAAAAAAAAAAAATTGAAGCAATAGAAGAACTTCTAGGATTAATGAAGGGCTGGGGATGCAGCTCAGGGGTAAAGGGCTAGCCCATGGTCTATGAGGCCTGTGTTCAATCCCCAGCACCAAAAAAGAATTTAGCAAATTGGCTGTATGCAAAGGTTAAATTCTTATGTTTTAGCAAAAAAATATATATATATATATATTTTTTTTCTTTACATTTCTTACAACAGTAATATTTAAAATCACCTAAAATACATTTCCCCCCTTGCTCTCAGAAGACAAGTATAGCAGCTATTGCTGTCCTGTGTGCAGTCCCCACCCTTGCCAACTCCAGCCCCAAATCAAGAAACTGAGGACCATAAACTCTTCCTACTTCCCAGGAAAGGGAAGTGGGTGAGTGCAGGGAGTCTTGATTAAGGCCCAACACTCACTGAAGGAAAACAAACCTGAAAAGACAGCTCTTAAGAGTAGGACTGCAGTTAGAAATTGTCACCCAAAGCAAGCCAATAAACACACACACACACACACACACACACACACACACACACATACAAAAAAAAAAAAAAAAAAAAAAAAAAAAAAAAAACCTCAAACACAAATGCTTAAAAATCTTGGGTCTACCAGAACCAGTTGTGTAGTTGTGTGACTGCTCAAGTTACCTGGCCTGCCTGTGCCTCCGTTCTCTCACAAGCTGTAAAATGGGCACAATACAAAGATGAGATAATGCATGAAAAAGAGTTTAGTGGTAAGCGCGCGATAAATGTGTGTAGTAACAAGAAGAACTGGTCTTAGGAACAGGCTGTCTGGCCAGTCCTTGCCCCCTTCTGCAGCCCTTAGTTGGGCTGAGCACTGSACCGTGCCCGGAGCAGAGGCTGGAAGGCAGAGGCTGTGTCCACTGGCARCGGAAGGCCACGGGACCAGCCGTTCTGTCAGCTCCGCAACAAGCCTTGTCCTTCTCGTCTGAGAAGTGTGGCAATTCCGTTTCCATGCTTCGCTCTGGGGTGAGCTGCAAGGGAAGGGCCACGCGGGTTTACCTAAGGAGGCTTCCCGCCGCGGGGTCCCGCGAGGTGGACTCGCGCTGCGCCTCTTCGGGGTCTCTGGCTTGCGGCGTCGGCGGCGAGGGCCCATCGCCGGCCACAAAGGGTCCCGGCTCCCGGTCGCCCCACGGCTCCTGTTCGGTCTTGCGGTCCCGTAGCTGAAGGCTGGTTACCGACAGAGGACGCGAGAGCGCCCGGGCGGAGGGCCACTGAGGAGCCGGTGCTCCACCCAGTCAGCGTCGCCTTCCGTTCAAATCTCCCGCCCCGCCTACTTCACGGCTGGCGTTGTTTAAAACCCCAATTCAGAGACTCCCAGTGGCTAACTCTGAATGCCCGGCATAGAGCGACGGCAGGAAAGACCAATAAGGGCACGGGCCGACAGAAGGACCGCGGCGGTGATAGGAGGAAAGCGGGGGAAAGGCGGATCCACGGTGGAGTCAGCCAATGAGCACTTGGAGAAATGAATGGCGTCTGGCTTGTGACGGGGCTGGCTGTTTGACCCGTAGGACAGATGCCTATGGGTGAGCTCTGGCCAAAAAGGAAATCTCAGTGCTGAAGAACGTGTTTCTCTTTCCGGGAGCTGTTTGTTATCGGGATCCGGGATTGAACTCAGGGGCGCTGGACCACTGAGCCAGTGTGGCCACATCCCCAGCCCTATTTTGTGTTTGATTTAGAGACTGAGTTGCTTAGCGCTTCGCTTTTGCTGACATGGTTTATGAATTTGCGATTCTCCTGCCTCAGCCTCATAAACTGCTGGGATTCCAGGCGTGCGCCACCGCGTGGGCTGAAGAATGTATTTCTCATTGACAAGTCACTTTCTTCATATTTTATGTAGCTCTATCAACCGTGAGGTGGCTTTAAAGATGAGGAAACAGACCCACATGTGACAGTGATCCACTTCGCCTTTTGAATATAGCTCTGAGGCTTATTTTTAAAACGGAGAAGTTTTCTTTTTCCTCTTTTCCTTCTCCTCCTCCTCCTCCCTAATCTGCGGAGGGGAGCAAGATTACCTTGAGTTATTTGTGCTCCACAGCAAGGAAATGTCTGCCAGAGGATCTAGGAAGTGAATATCTCTCAAATTAACAAGTGAATCCTAACATACCATCAGGGCGCGCGGGGTGGGGTGAAAGATGCTGTCAGGGCATACCTGGAATACCTCCTTTAAAATGCCCCTTCTTCCTGATGGGGAGAGTCACAGCCTCTGGGACAGGAGTCTCCTATGTTTCTCCTCTGCTAGCAAAACAACAAAACTTATTTTTCCTTTTTCTCAAAACCATGCCCACATTATTGAATTGGCATCGGGGACAAGGACMRAGCTTTTGGTTACACACAGAGAGGGTGACACCCTTCTTGAGGATGCCCTGCAAATAGAGTAGGAAGCTAGTTTAACTGCATGAACTTTCAGATGATTAGRGTTTGGGACGTCCAGCATGGTGGGCTCTGAGGATGAGGTCCAGGCAGGGCAATCATCAGCACTACTTTTGGATGGGCTGTCGAGCACCTGGATAGAATCATAACAGGGAAACAAAGGATCTCTTCCATTTTCCATTCAGAATAATATGAATTCAAATCATGTTGTCGTACTTAGAATAAAGGGAATTTTAACTTCCTCTTTTTGCTCTTATGAATTTTCTAAATGTTCTGTGAACATGTACTGTAATCAGGAAAATCTTTAGTTATAAAATCAGTGATTTCATGGAACACTTGTGCGTTGCTGGGGAGAATGTAAAGTGGTGCAGCTGCTGTGAAAAATAATATGGTGGTTCCTCAAGAAATCAAACATAGAATTACTAAATGAACCACCAATTCCACTTTTGCCTATCTATCCAAAAGAATTGAAGGCAGATAATTAAGTGGGTATTTGTATAGCCATGTTTATAGAAGCTTTATTCACCATAGCCAAAAGGTGGAAACAGCTTGAATGTCCCTCCATAGAAGAATGGATACACGAAATTTGGTGTATTCAATGGAATATTATTTAGCTTTAAAAAGTGGAAATTCTAACACATGCTATGAACATGGATGAACCTTGAAAGACTTTATACTGACTGAAATAAGCTAGTCACAAAAGGACAAATACTGTAGGACTCTAYCTATATGAGGTACTGGAGTGGTCAATTCTTAGAGACAGAAAATGGAATGCCAGGGGCTGGGAGGAGGAGATAACAGGGAGTTCTTACCTAATAGGGACCAAGTTTTAGTTTGAGTAAATGAGAGAAGTTCTAGACATGTGGGGTGGTGATGGTTGTACAACGATATGAATTAATGCTACTGAACTGTGCATGTCAAAATGGTTAAGATGGTGAATTTTGTGTTATGTCTATTTTACTATAATTATTTTTTTAAAAGGAAAGTTTTTACTAAATCCATTGAGTCATAGTTATAATCACAGAAAGATCCAGGTCAACACAGAGGGAAGAAATCCAGAGATACTAGTCCTCAATAGCCATTAATCRGACAAAGCAAAATTTCACTTATTAATTCTGCTTTAATTTCAGCCCCTTTTTTGTTCAATTGAAAGTAGATAATTACTTGGCATGGTGGTACACACCTGTAATTCCAGCAGCTTAGGAGGCTGAGGCAGGAGGATTGCCAATTTAGTGAGGCCCTAAAGAAACTTAGTGAGAACCTGTCTCTAAAACATACAAAAGGGCAGGGGATATGGCCCAGTGGTTAAGCACCCCTGGATTGAATCCCCAGTTAAAAAAAAAGTAGAAAATTAGGTAGAAAAAAAATGAGAGTTCACAAGAAACTAATGCAATTGGCTACGTATAAAGTAGTGGTGGGTGAGTGGAGACAGAAGAGTAAGTGTGTTTCTCAATGTGTACATTTTTATTTTTTTAAAAAGATGTTTATTTATTTATTTTTAGTTGTAGTTGCACACAATAATTTTATTTATATGTGGTGCTGGGGATGGAGGCCAGAGCCTTGCATGTGCTAGGTGAGCACTCTACCACTGAGCCATAGCTCAAGCCCCCAATGTGTACATTTTTTATATATTGTTTTAAATTTTGAACCAGTTGAATTGCAAATCTATTTTAATAATAAAATTAAATAAAAATAATAAATGGGTTGAGGAAATCAAGAATAGTATTAGACTACCCTGAAGTCCAGTGGAGTTGAATGAAACAGAGTAGCAAATTGTCAATCCTAGAAACATAATTACCACCAACTGTCTTGACAGTGGGTAAATAAACCAGCATGGGAGAGAGAAAAGGGAGGAAACTAGTTAGTTAGTTGTACCATCACAAATAATGCAGAGACTCCCTTAGCCAAAGCTCCTGTGGATCTACTCTCTTAAATCTTCCTGAAGAATAGGGTTAGATTCTAGAAGAAGCATTCCTGGCTTTCCTTTCGAGCTCAGGACCAAGAATTTCAGCATTCTGGATCCTTATAAGATTGCTCAGAAGACCTAACGGTCAAGGCCAAAGCCCACACATAAGGAAATGAAAATCAGAAGAGAAATTGAAACGCATGAAATGGAAGTAGATGATTCTCCAGATTACCCAKCAGCCAACTTTTTGCTGGCTTGGTATTCCCACCTCAGTCAGGAGTACAATGGCTCTTCTTGATGATGCATAGTCTAGATGACTCCTTGGGGATCCCAGTTTCACCTGATTCACCTGTCAGCTTCTGTACAACTGTTAATAACTTTCCTAGTGCTCCTGCTTCTGGTCAGCAAATGAACAGTTCAGAAGAAACGAGAAATGAAAATAGCCAAGACAATTACTTCTGCTGGTTTCTGGTTCTAGAAACAAACCAATGCTCCAGGAAACTCACTTAACTTTTGATTCTGGGGCTTAGGAGARGATTGTGGTGACTTGTAAGCTATAAGATGAAGTAGCCCTTAGGAGGCTGAGGGAGGTAAACCCATCAGCCAGTGGGTTTACTGGTGTGTCCCTTCATGGGCAATTGGCATGAAAGTAGGTGGCTCTGGTCTATCCTTGGCTTCTCCTCCAGGAGTTCATACTGGCACTGTCACTATGCTTGTGGTCTCTAGATGTTTACATGACCAGGATCAATACTTAAGTAAGTCTAGAAGGATATGAGGGTGATACTAACAGGTATCAGCATTCAGGATGGAGGCCCAGTGGGAGTAAGAGAAACAGATTCTTTCAATTTAATGACAGAAGTACTGTATGATCCTGCAATTCCATTTATGCTTATATGTCCAAAAGAATTGAAGGCAGGCACTTTAACGGATATTGGTGCAGTCATGTTCATAGCAGCTTTATTCACAAAAGCTAATACCCACCCTCCAAGCCAAAGCTAGTAGCTTTGCCCTTTCCTAATTCTCATCCTCTCTGATCCTGCTCTTATACATTACTCCTTCAATCAACAACAACCCATCTCAGTTCTTATGACATCTTCTCTCCAGCCCCTCATGGCTCAATCTATTTTTTCTCCAAAGAATCAAGACTCTTGATTCTTYCCTCTGTTATGCTCTTGGAAATGTCCTTATCTACAACCCTTACCTTTCTTTTTAATTCTCTAGTTCCTTCTGTTTTTGCCTGCAGCTTATCATTTTTCTCTTCCTCAAACATGTAAGAAGGAAAACCAGACTTCCTCTGAGACCTCTGATGGTCAAGAAATGGGCAGGGGGTGGCTTGATGTGTTTTGGAGTCATCATTGGTGGGTCTATAGTTTGGGCTTCCTTACTCTCCTATGACAGACTGTTCCTGTCTGGATCAATGGAGGATGGAAGTGATGTCTCCATAGTAGATAGAGAGGCTGGTGTGTGCATGTGTGTGTGTAGGGAGGGGACACAAAATGTGTGTGTGTGTGTGTGTGTGTGTGTGTTGGTGAGACAGTAGTCCCCCACTCCAGCTGTATCTCAATGAGGTCATGCACATGGCACAGCTTGTGGTTACAAGAGAGAGGGAGCCCAGCTAGGGCTCTGGGCATGACACCTTCCTACTTAGAAGGTGAGGAAGGAAGGGAAATGGGGAGAATTCCAGCACAGCAATTTTACTCTCCAACATGTGGATGAGAACACACCTGGCACAGCAGGGGACAGTAAGATAGGGCCCCAGATCCCAGCTAGGGTGGGACATCCAGGCTAGTCTGTTGCTTGGTACTAACCCTCATCTGTTCTTGTCTTGGCATTGGGCCCACTAACCTGAAGTTTTTACTCAACCATCTGCCC